ATTTAATGCACATATCCTCCAAATGTTTTGTTTCTACATTCATTCATTTGCAAATTAGACACAAAAACCCGGTTGTACCTTAACTTTTTGAGGCCAGTGTATTTTGTAAATCCTAACAATGTCTCTCAACTGAAAAAGCCCCCCCTCGTAAAATTTAAAATTAATTAAAATTGTTGCGGACTCTTCCCCACTGAAGTGAGAGGGTTTACTAAAGGGTGAGACATTTTCTTAAAGTATACTCTTTATTATGACTTTCTAATATCTTTAATTACCTAAGCTATGGGAAGCACATCAGCTAAAATAGTAATCTAAATATGTTGAATCTAAATTTTATACTTATTAATAGATGATCTTCAAACAATAATACTAGTACTTGAACGGCTAGTCTGATTCTTTCCTCTTAAACTGCCACGATTCCAAAATTAGTTTCTATAACATAAAAATTTTTGCATGGCAACAATAACCATCCTCAACTTTCCTCTTCACTTGATTTCGCTTCACTCCCTCATTAACATAAATCATGGTTCCCTTACAGAAAGAGGTTTTATAATCATATTAAGTCAGCAAAAGTATTTTTCCTGGAGGATTAATCAGAATCGCGAATAGAACCCGTCACAAATTTCCTTATAAAAATATGATCACCAACGTATTATGGGTTTTTCTTTTCATATATAAGCGTAAAAATATGTCATACATTACAAATACTACCACAAGATTTCTTTTCTTTAAAAATTTGATCAGCTTTTATTTGTTCTCAAAGTACAAGAGAAAATTTATTTTGAGGATCAGTTAAAAGATTCTTTTTAAGTTAATCTCTTCATTAAAAATTTGCTGAATTTTGATACCTGGAAACCTCAAAAATGATTAAGAACATGTGTGGTAGTGTTAAGACAAAATCTCAAGTTCCTTATGAAGGGGATTATTTCTTCGTTAAATTGGATAAGAATTTCCAACCGCGACAAGGAAAATGTCTTACGAAAAAGGTTCTCCAAAAATTAATCCTGACGCTTGGGGAATAGAACATGCCATTTCACATTCTTTAGAATTTCTTAATAAAATATATATTAAAGCTTGCTTGTCTTAAAGATTTAGGTTTTAGTATTATTAGAAGGATATATATATATATATATATATATATATATATATATATATATATATATATATATATATATATATATATATATATAAATAAAATAATACGTACTTTTGTGGGCTACATAATAATGCTATAAAATTGTATTTGAAGAAAATATTAGAAATGAAGTTGATACTTTAATGCATTAAAAAGTCTTGAATCCTTTTTGAGGTTGCTATAGGTTATTTAAAACGTTTCTAATAATTATATTTTTCAAAAAAATATTATTAGAAATTTTCAAGTAAAATTAAAATATTTTCAGTAAATTATTACTGAATATCTTTAAGGCTGTACTTTCTTGAAACAGATTATTAGAATAGATTCAGATTACAGGAATTAAGTAGAGTAAATTCTCGCAAAAAATTGTAAAAACTACATTTTTTCATGGAGTAAAAAATTACAAGAAAAGATTATGATTATTTTGTAACTTATTGCAAGAAAAAGCCCGTTTTTTAAAAGATATTTAAGTTTTCAAAGTTCTTAAAGCTAAAGTATTTAGTTTATCATAGAACACTGAAAAATCTTTTTGAGGAATGTAATTTTTTCCAAAATAGATTGTTGAAAATATTCTAACTGCAATACACTATCTTTTTCAACCAATTCACTGCCAGCTATATGAGTTATTTTGTAGTGTGTACTGTAAAATTGCAGTACACACTACGAGATATCATTTGTAATCAATTTCAAATGGCTATTTGAGTTAGGAATAATTAGAAAGGATGAAAAGGAAAAATTTATATAGAGCAGAAAACATATTAATTATCAATTTTTATTATTAAAATTATAATTTAGACGATTAGATTACAACATAATAATTATGTATGCATATAAATGTATTACTAAAATAAAAAAAATTAGTTTTATTGTTGTTGCTGTGCATGATAAGCTTTCAAGCAAGGATCAACGCAAAGTACTGGGTTGCTGGGACACACTGAGAAAAATATCTAGTCTCCTTACATAGTTTTTGTTTGCTTTGCACACATTTGACATGGCTTTGAAGGCATCTTTTTTTTTCTGTGGGTGGAAGATGTTCTAAGTAATGAAAATCAGTTAGTTACTGTTTTTTCCTGCATTGCTGCCATCGCCATCAAGAAAATGCATCAAAACTGATTCCCTAAATTGAAACATCCTTATCTTTATATTCTTTCAATTTCTTTAGTTTGTAGAACATGTATCCATTCTGTCGGAAGATTTTGAAGTAGTGTAGTACAATTTTCTTGTACCAACGGATAGTTTTCCTGAGGAATAAGTTGTTAGACATCCGTTAGTCACAGCGTTCCATACCTGCCATTTTTAAAGTATAATCTCTGATTATATCTGGTTCAGTCGAAATTTTTCCATTTTTGTTCTTCACTTGAACCATTTTGCGTTAGGGCATGTTGGCTACAGTCAGCACATCCTGAAACAAAAAAAAATATTTTCTGTATGAAGATTTTTGTTGAAAAAAACCTACTACGGATAAACACTGAGATAACTCGTGAGTTGCACTCAGCACATGAGTTTTATTCAGTGACGCCAGCTACGAGTTACCTCGTAGTGCTTTTTTTCAGTAAAAATTGCTCTAAATGACATTAAAAAATTATATCAATTACTTAATCTAATATATATTATAAATGAGAAAGTTTATGAGTATCTTTGTGGGTCTCTTTCACGCAAAAACTACTGAATGGATTTTAATGAAACTTTACAGTAATATAGCTTATACATCAGAATAGCACATAGGCTATAATTTATAGCATAGACTATAATTTATAAAGATATTGTATGAAGTGTCCAAAATATAACGATAATTTGTTAAGTAAGTAGGAAAAAATTCTGTCATCTGCTAGCAATTCTGGCATGCACTGCAAAAAAAAAAAAAAAAAACCACGTCTGCACGTCTTTTGTTTGTGAAAAACCTTTTTTGTTTTGGCTACGCAAGGTGCTCGCTTGTAATTAATTCCTCTGATATAATGCCTATTTTTTTATTTCAGAATCAAACTAAGTTTTGAAGGGAGATATTGTTATAAATCTCTCTTTATTTTAATGTTTTTTTTATGATTTTATTATGCATATTTAGTAGTAAGAAATTGATCTTTTTTCCAAATAAATGCTTTTATCAGTTCTGATACTTAAAGTAAATAAACTTTCTCTTTCACACTGCATCATTTGGACAAATTTTCAAAATTTGTTTGTGATTAGTAGTTAATTATAACGCTATAATTTTAATTGAATAGGCATATATAATTATTTTTATACTTAAAAACGCAATAACTACTGTACTGTATTTTTTGGAGTGTGAGATTGAGTGAATATTAATGTCACACTATTCAGCTACACGAGGGCTTTTGGCAATGGATCACGTAATTTTGAACCATGGTCAAATGACGTGGACGACACCTGAGCTGGCACCCTCTTCTCCTAACTACCACACCACATCAACTTAGAAGGAATATTCTACCAATACTTAGCAGGAATATTCTTTGAAATCCACTCTTCCAAGATGTATGGCAGCACGGGTTCCATGATGAGTATTTTAGCGGAAAAAATAGTTTGTGAAAAAAAAATTTAAGTGTCTTATGTTTTTGTATGCTAATGAAGAACTTAGAAAATGATTTGACTACTTATTTTAAGTGAATGGTTAATTAATTTTACAGTGGAATATCTTTAATTAATTTATTAGCTCTAACGGATTAAATTTTCCAAAGTGGAGTATTTTGTTTATGTATATCCCTTAATTTGTAAATGTAGTAATCCAAAAAAAATATTGTATGAAAAAAACTGCAGTAAATCATAATGCGGTTGGATAAAGTATTAATGTGCATCTCTCCCCTACACGGCGGGTCTTACAAAGCTCTAATAAAGCTCGAGCTACGAAAGTAGCTAGGCATTTGCCAACTTGACTCTATCATTAACATTTCGCTGTTTTTCATTGAATCTCCATTATTATTTAAGATACGGCGTTGCTTGCGAATATTACAATTTTAAAATAAAGTAAATACAACAGAAAGTAATATTAATGTATTACACTTTTAGATATAAATTATTTACACTACTTTAAGCGTTCATTACGCAAAACTTTTAACAATGTTTTACTTTTGGTGAGCAGAGATCAGGTTAGGGAGGTATTTTGAAAAATCGACCCTCAAGAGTGTTACGAGGAATTACAAATAAAAGAAATCCTTTTTATCAGCTATTAGATATACATACTTAAAATTTAACAAAGGTTTTTTTTCTTTCTTTTTTTTGTTTAGCTGAGATATGCAAAATCTTTTTTTGTTTAATTTGCAATTCACATAAAATTAACTCATTAAAAACTTCTTTTTCCTTCAATCTGTGTTGTTTAATTTTTCAGTTCACCCGTGCGAAGAACGGGTATACCAGCTAGTATTATCATAGTTTGTAAACTTTCATGTTTTCTTTACAATGAAACCTTGGCATCCAGGGCAAGGAGCTCTAAATTTACCTGGCAGTGAATGGATTAAAACTCTAATTAAATATCAAAAATTCCAATGAAGTATTTAAATGCTTGATTATTTAAATAATGGTTCAGTTACTATATATGAGATTTGACGAATTTGTTTTCATCATCCATTATTTTTTGTCTTTATTTGAACATTTTTCAATTCCTACTATATTAGTTCACTCTCTCCCTACACATATATAGTATCTTGTTCAAATTTTCAATCATTAATAAAATACTTTCTATTCATCCATTCAAGTTCAAATACATCTTTTTAAACTTGCAGTGATTGACACTTTATGTTAATACAGTTTTTTAAAAATATTAATTCATTAATTAAATTAAAAATGAATAAATAGTAACAAACACAAAATTAATAGTCCAATAGCATATATAGAAAGGAAATTCGTTTGCTGTGTCTTTGAAGCGCAATGGATAGCGTGTTGGACTTTTTATCCAAAGGCCGTGGCCTCGAATCCCACCTGGAATGGTCTTCTTTCTGAAAATGTGCCATTTTTACTACACTGTTTTATTACAATAATTAAATTTAATTAATGAATAAATGATAACAAACAAAAAAAAAGCCCTACACCATATATACAAAGGAAAAATGAAAATTGCAAGTAAAGTCGTATTCTATTTTGTCACCTAATGTTGTGATTCTATCATACGTATATACATATTTATAATAATAGTAACTATTTAATAAAGGTAACTAAAATAAAACTTTTCTTTGATGACCCAAGTAGGAACTGACCTAAATTTTTTGTTTTATATTACTTATTGAAGAAAAACTTCTTTTCGCAAGCTTTACTTGAGGAGTAAGCTGGTGAATGCGTGATGAGAGCGTTACGAAAAGTGTGATCGGGGGCGAGGTGAACGAAAGTTGAGAGAGAGATAAAAGTTAGTGAAGATAGGAAAAGAGAGAGCTATGTTTCTCGTATATTACTGAATGAATATCAAAGGACTCACTCTCTACAGTTACTATATGTTGCTCTATCACGAGTTACCAGTATTGAAGGACTGTACATAGGGCCAATAGACAATGATAATAGATTTTATCATGGTCGAAAAAATTATACATCGATCAAATCTTTACAAGATGAATTTAGCCTATTATCTTTGAACACATTGTCAACAATAGGAAGAACGATTCTTGACTTCATGAATGACAGAAAAAAATTGCCCTTGGTTAATTTTAATTGCCAAAGTCTCAGAAAACATGTGTCGGACTTGAGCGATCCCGTAATTTCTTCAAGCAATATTTTGTTTCTAACAGAAACCTGGTAAGATGACGATGAAAATGTTGACATCCCGAATTTTAATTGTATTGCGAAATTTAAGCGTAAAAATGTTAGATCAGGAGGAGTGGCAATTTATCAGAAATCAAATAATGCCTGGAATATAGTAACTTCGAACATGGATATTTTATTATGATATATTCGTGAAATCGATATTGGTTAATCATCGATTGGTGATATATGTGCTTCTCACTGTGTTTTGGATGACAGAACAAACATCATAATCGTAGTTGTTTACATTTCGCCCGATTGATTGATTTAATATTAACGTCGCACTGTTCAGCTACACGAGGGCTTTTGGCGAAGGACCACGTAATTTTACATTTCACCCGATAACACAGTTATAATATTACAAAGTTTTTACATAAAAGACTTATGATTTACGGTCGAGTAGGCTTTAAAGAATTAGGAGAAAACTATAATACGTTGCCTCTAATTCTAGCAGGAGATTTAAATGTTAATTTAGCGTCCGCAGATGGATAACTCTTGGTAATCTTTCTGCAAGATAAATAAGAACTATAAATGAATAGAATGAATAATAACCGAAATGGGCCTACCACAAGACATGAAACAACAATCAATGCAGTTTTTTCTAGATATCTTTCTAATTTTCATTCGAAAACATATGTATCTTATTTCTCATATCATAAGCCTATTGTCTCGGTTCACAATCAACCACAGTAATTACTGATGTATCTGATAATGAATAATGCAAGTAATGAGTAAAAATAAAAAAGTATATTCAACAATATTATTTTATAGATGAAAACCCATAATATAAATTTAAATATTTGTAGAAAATTAATATATGTATATAAATATACATGCATATATTATACATATATATATATAAACACACATATGTATACATACATATAAATGGAGCTAAAGAAGTTTTACTTCAGTCGTGTGGTCTAAAGCACAATCGTTGATTTTTTAAACTTTAGACATTAAGTTTTTCATAGATCAATGATAGTAAAATAAGTTTTTATGAGAGTTTGTTGAACAATATCAACGTATAAGAGTGGACTTTGTATTTAAAACATATTCAATACAATAAAAGAAATTATCAAAATTAAAATTTGTATTTTAAACATTGTTACATATTAATCAAGCAAGAAATGATTCAATGGACATGTAGTACAAAACTTATTTTCTAATTTAAGGGCTGTTCAGAAAAAGGAAAATCGTTAAAAGCTTGGTCAACATAGTCATAAAACAGTGCTCATAAGTCAAAGAATATAAAGTAAACAAATAAGCACTTAAATATTCTCGTAAGAAATACACACTGCACATGCCAGACGCAAAATAAAACTTCCCTTCGACGTAAAATACGAGCCATAAAAATTATCCATGCCTTCGAATCGTTGAGTAATTAAGAGTATGTAAATATTTGCTGAAAGCATTTCTATTTTTTAAAATTTCTCTTTAAATAAAACAAAGTTGTAAAAAAAAAGTTCATGTTTTCGAATCGTTGAGTAATTAAAGTTATGGAAATATTTGCTAAAGATATCTCTATTTTTAAAAATACCTCTGTAAATAATATAAAGTTGCAAATTTATCTTTCTAATAAAAACGTGATTTTTTCTTTACAATTCCGCTGAGCTCAATTAATATGGTCCGTAAAGCGTTATTCCAATACCAAATGCGCATTTCCAATGAGACACCGGTTTAAATTAAATCCAGAAGTCACGCAGAAAAGTGCTTATGTATACCTTCATCTGGAATAAATTTTACGTCGGGATGTTACAAATATGGTAAAAATGGCGCAACATTCCTTAGAAACGTAGAAGAGACGAATTTTGATTGCACTGTACCCAATAAGTCTACAACTCCTTAGAGGCAGGTGAAGGCGAGTTAGTTTTCATTTCCTTGGGATTCTCTAATAGTTCCTTAAACATTTTCAACATTACTCATTAGACGGAAAAATATTTCTTCGAGCATTAGATAAAGCTTGAATGTAGCTGAAAATACTTAGTCGTGCCCTTAGGAATTTACCTATGATTTCTGAAGCTTTAAGTTGGTTCAGAAACTCGAGATCACATGAATAGGAGGAAATTATCGGCTGTCATTTGATACGGATGATGAAACTGAACTTTAAGGAAATTTTTACTTGTTTTAACGAGAATGTGTAACGTTTAGGCCGTATTATTCTTGATGTTTTAGAATGAATTGTTGAAATATGTTTAAGATGAAAAATACAATCTAGATAATATTGACTTTCATATTAGTACTTAAAAACGAAACACCTTAACACTTTTTATAGAATTAAAGAGAAATCTGTATTGAAATATGTGAAGATATCTTGAAAGAGAGTTATTCTCAAGTATTTATCCTTTCTGAAAATATATTCAATTTCATAAAAAAGCAATATTCAATTGATTCCAATTTTCCTCTTAGAGTTGATTTTTAATTTAATTATCATTTCCTAAAACATATTAAAATGCGTTCTTTCTTAAATTATGAACTCACTAAAAACTCATTAAATCTCCAATTTTTATTAATTTATGGGGTATTTTTTTATTGAAGACAGATAAAATAATTCACGTGCACCACAACTATCACACGGGGCACTTACAGAAGTAAGTAAAAAAAAAAAAAAAAAAAAAAGATAAATAAAATAAAAGTAAATAACAAAAAAAAGTTACGAAATAATGAAATAACCAAATGTTACAAGGACAACAAATATGTTACAAGGACAAAAATACATTGCTAAATGAAACAATTACGTAACAAAACCAATACAGTCAAGTTACAAAAACAGAGAAATGAGAAGTTAACAGAAAATTACGAGATCAAATCAATGAAGATACAAAATAAAATGAACGAATCTTTACTTGAAACAAGTTGAAAAAAAATTGGGAAAGGAGAAATTGGGAAAATATGGAGTATTATGGCAAAAATACTTTATTTCACCAAATATAATTTATATTACAAATAATTTCTAAACACATTAAAATTTAAAGCTTTTTCAAGTTAGTGCTTTATTTAAGTGTTTTTTTCATTTGTGTAATTTAAAACCATAATTTAGTACAAGAGTATCTCTTTAAAATTTTCAATATCAAAAATTTCATTTTTCAAATTTTTTTAATTCATCGCCAAATGAATTTAATATTTTTAGAAAGTATTAGCAATGGAATGTGGGAAATCAATTTGTATTTATAATTTATTTTGAATAAATTCTGTCACATATTTTTTTACAGTTAAAATTTCAATGAATACTCAACGAAGGATTTTTAAAAATCAATTCTCAGTTTTTCTATTCTTTGTATCATTAAATTAAAAAAATTATTACAGTTATTATACTTCAACCCTATTTATTGTATATTTTATAGATAAATCTCTCTCTTAAAAAGCATCGTAATTTCTTTGCTCTTTACCTTTAAATCTCCCTACATTTTGATTAATTTTACTGAAAGATATGATTTATAAATTGAGGTCATAATGCTTCTTTTGTAACACACACATATATATATATACTACCACCATTAATTTAAAATTTCAACAAATAATAAAAAACTAATATTTTACGAATCAAAATTTTTTCTTTGCTTCTGTATTGTTTACAACATTCTTAAATAATAACTAAGTATTTACTGTTAAAACAAGTATATCCCTTTTTATTACAATTTAACCAATTGCAATAATTTACGTGAGATTTAGAAAAATCCAAATTCATACTTTGAAGTTCCCATATTTCATTTGGATTTTACTTTTATAATACTCCTTTATCTTGATTCAATATTATATATGTAAGGATAATTAAATTACATTAAAAATTAAATTCCCTATCTAGCACTTGACTCATCTTTCTCCGTTCCCATATTCAAGTATCAAACTAATCACCCATTTATTTCTTCCGAACATATGGCCTAGCCAATAAACATGTCTAATTCCAGATCGTTAGATTTAATAGTCAACATATGTCAGCATTAACTTGCAAGCCCCTCTTCAAAGCAGCGATACTTACCATATGTTTTTCAAGTGTTATCCACTTGAAACCACCACCATGGCGTGCTTTTTCCTCCCTGCCCTTAGCGTCAGAAGAGATGTACAAATGATTGAATAAAGATCACATTTTTAAACTTTAATCTGATTCTGTCTTAAAAATCATGACATATATACACTGGTGTGCAAAAATTAAAGACGAGATGGTTTTTCAATATAACTTTGTACAAAAGCTTTCCAA